CCCCCCCCCCCCCCCTCTCTCTCTCTCCTGCACTGTCAGATGAAAAATAAGGAACTTTCTATACGGATGGATTTTCTCGGCAGCCAAACAACCCTTAGGAGGGAAGGAAAAAACTCCAAGAGAATTCGGAGAACATATCAACGAAACGGCACCTCGGGTTTTCCTCTCTTTCCTCCTCGGTTTTGACTTTTTTTTTGGGGGGGTTTAGATTAAAAAAAAAGGAAACTAAGAGAAACAAAAAAAAAAAGTCCACTATCTGAGAAGGAATTGAGGCAGTTCGCATTTTGTCCCTTCTCTGTTTCCATCTCTCTTTTGTTGTTTTTCTCTTTGACTCAATCAAAGTTTTGTTTGTAACGTTAAAAATATATAAAATGCATGTATATGTGTATATATACTATATCATTGTAGTTAGTTATTGATTAAAAAACACTAATTTTTATAGATGCGAGGATTAGCACCGTTTTTAGACTTGTTACGGTACGTCGCGTTGCACACGATAAACACCCTTCTCCCCTATTTTTTTTAAATTCCCTTTCAACGATTTTCTTGGGGATCGGCAAATGGGTAATTTGGAAGATCCGGAACACTCGGAAGGCGACACGTGTCCACCAGATGTTATCTCTGCTGCTAACTTGCGCATTCAATGGAAAGCCGGCTTCGTCGTTGCGTGGAGAGGGTAAATCCGGAAAATGTGAGAAGATTTGGTGTGCAGACGTGGCGCTTTTATTACGGTGGTCCAGTTAGGATGACCGTACGATCTCGGTGCAAATGGAGCGTTTGACAACTGTTCCTGCTAATCCAACGGCTCCGCTTTTTTAGTGGGCCCTGACCAGGAAGCACATTTAAAGATTTTAATTAGAGAAAAATCCGTATTTATTATATTTGTTAAAATATAATAATACCTATATAATTTAAAAAATAAATACTATCAATTTTCTATATATAGACATTAATTTGGTGACAACTCTCGTTATTGGACGTTGGGCATGAATAGAAAATTGGTGGAACTAATTGGTGTGTTTATATGAAATTTCTCAGTTAATTGTCTTAATTTAAAACACTTAATCTCTATAAATTGGAAATTAAAGATACGATTATTGATTATTATTTTTTTTTGGATTTTCTTCTTAAATGGAGATAATACAAAACTATATATTAAAGAAAATTTAAAAATTGAATATTATAAAACAAAGAATCATGCGTTGCTCGCCTGTGAACAAGTACGTCAACGAAATGTATAGTTAGGTAAACTTCAATCTTTCCATGAATTCCGCAGAGCTTAGAAACTCAATCCACAAAAACTCTTATTTCTTTTAATAAGAAAATTTATTTTCAAACACGGCATGACTTGTATAACAAATTCAAGATCTAATTGATTTGATTATCCACGACGAATTTAGAACGGTAAGGTTATTATAATCCGCTATTTATATCTTAATGTACACGACAAAAATAAATTCAATAGAAGTAGTAACTCTTAGTTTCCTTAGGATAACCTACAAATAAACATTTGTCAGATTTGGAGGATAACTTATCATATATATATATATATATATATATATATATATATATATTTTGTCAAACCAGGAAGTTCACCTAGGCCTTCGACCCAACCTACATCTTCCTAGGTCCGGGAGCAATCTTTGAACACGCAGCCTTTGGCTACGCCTCTCCCTCCCCGCATATCTGGATTCGAACCCCTGACCTGGAGGAGGAACACCCTCACTTCCAGTCCAGTTACCACTCGACCATAGACATGTGGGTTATGTATTTATATATTGATAATACCTATCACATATACCTTGTGGAAAAACTACACGAAAGTTTTTTTTACCCATACGAAGATTCACGATTTTAATTTGCGTTCTGCTCTATGAGGTAATGAATTTTCACATGAAAATGTGAATACGTATTAAATCGATAGCGAATCTTGGTTATGCTTTGATCTGATTTTTAAGATTATCGTAACATTATTGTAATATTTAGATTTGATTTTTTAGATGGCGAGGAAGAAAAGGATACATGGGAAGAGCTTTTGATCTTTATAATAGCTTTTTTAAATTGTTTTCGTCTCCTCCATTATAATGTCAAACAGGAAAAAAAAACTAAATTACCGTTTTAGAGCATGCATGCATGCATGCATGGGGATCGTGAGATACGGTAGAAAGTAAAATAAAATATTACATGTTGTCCACATAACATGAATCTGAAACATAGCGTATAGTGTAATATATATGATATTATTACAAAAAAAAAAAGTCGGCAGGGGGAAGAAGTTCTTGTAATAAAAAAGAAATGTGGACAATACTTGTTCGGTGCATGAAGACATCATGTATACCATATGTCAAGCATGTTCCCGATTATATAATATATGATATCTTAAAATAATAGTATAGTATTTTTTTTTATAATCAGGAGATTCAACCGTTTAATGTCTTTGAAGTCAACATTTAGTTATACAATTAATTATGTTCTTCTCCCTATTAGTATAATCGAATTCAAAATTTTTGAAGTAAATTTGTCATTCACAAATATTTATTTTTAATACCCTCCGAATTTTTTTTATTGGGGTTAAAAAATTAGCAATTTCCAACCAGGAAACTACGAGTAGCGATAATATTGGTTGAAGGGAGACCATAACTGATTATTTTCTATACATTGATGAGATAAGCCAATTGGCTCCGAGTCCGACCATATAATATTCATTTGGTCAGACCACCATGATCAAACTTTAGGGATATTCCAAGATTGATGAGAAATCATATGCAATGAAAGTGCATCCCACTTGTCTCCTCTGTCTTCCCTTGGTCGTGAGAAAACGACTGCGACCCCAAATTCAGTCGCGTGTCAACGAGGAAGAAAAAGATTAAAAAGGCATAATAATAATAATTTCGAATACTTTGACCAAAAAATAATAATAATTTCAAATATCATGATTTTATTCGGCTTTTAAGGTCCACTCCAAGAGATAGAGAATTTTTTTTGGTTATCGGATATGCTGAGGGATGTTCGGGCTAATCTCAAAATCGAAAGTATGTGATGTGATTGAAATTACGCTTCATTCCTCAATTTAAAACTCGAATTTGAAACGGGACATACAATATATATTCCGTTTCACCCGTTGATGTATCCAAATTAGATCAAATAGTTCAGCAATTGATTACTTATTTAGTCATTTCCTTAATTATTCAGAATGCATTTTAGTTTATGGGTCGGTCATATCATATCATCCCTCTTATCTTGTTATCTTTTACAACCAGTGAAGCGGACAAAACCATGCCGACAGATTTGGGTTCAGTGAATGTGGAAAACGTGAGCAAACAAACAAACAAAAACCTAAAACATTGTACGTATTTGTATAAAAAGAGTCACCTTGTGATGAGATTTGCAACAAAAAGGCCGAACAAAACCTAATTCAGAAATGGAAGCGGCTTCTCAAGACACTCGATCCGATGATATTCCAAGTTTCATGGGAGAAGACAAGGTCAGACAAGAATGCAAGAGTTTGATCTCTTCGCTTCCCTCGGACAAAGATTTCTTGGGGAGGAATCTCTGCAACTACAATGGCTTCTGGTTCTACTCCAACACTCTTCAAGCAGTTATTGATGTCCAAAACCACTTCCGAACCCTAGACACCGACGTGATCGTCGCTTCTTTCCCCAAAGCAGGCACCACTTGGCTCAAAGCCCTTACCTTCGCCATTGTCAACAGATCTAAATACCGCTCTAACCCAGAAAACCACCCTCTACTCTCTCAAAACCCTCATACCCTCGTGCCCTTTCTCGAGATCGATCTGTACTCTGAAAACAAAACTCCGGATCTCGCCAAGGTCCCCTCTCCCGGGCTCTTTGCCACTCACATGCCGTTTCTTCTGCTCCAAGAATCCGTGAAGGAATCTTCTTGCAAGATCGTGTACGTCTGTAGGAACCTTAAAGATAATGTAGTGTCGGCTTGGCATTTCAGAAGGGGGTATATGATTTCGGAGATGCATGGAACAACGCTCAAGCTCATGATCGAATCCTTCTGCAGAGGAGTTCATTTCTGCGGACCCTTTTGGGACCATGCACTAAGCTACTGGAAAGAGAGCTCGGAGAATCCGGACCGAGTGTTCTTCACGAAGTACGAGGACATGAAAAACGAGCCCCGCGCCCAGATCAAGAGACTCGCCCGCTTCTTGGGATGCCCATTTACGGAAGAGGAAGAGATGAATGGATCGGTGGATGAGATCTTGAATCTGTGTAGTTTGAGGAGTTTGAAGGATCTGGAGATTAACAAGACAGGGAAAGCACCCTGCAGTATAGATTGCAAGAACTTCTTCCGGAAAGGCGAGGTCGGTGACTGGAAGAATCATCTGACCGGAGAAATGGCGAAGAAGATGGACGAGATTGTCGGGATGAAGTTACAAGGTTCGGGTTTGGTGTTTGAATGAGATGGGTTTTGGCCAATGAAACGACCGAAACTTGTGAGTTGTAAATTGTAAAAAGGTATAATAAAGCAGAGAAAAAGGTGTCGAGACAAAAGAGGAAAAGGATTGAATGTTATTATCTGGAATCTTAAAATTCATAACATGGAAAATTTGTAAAAAAAGAAAAAAGAAAAAGGAATTTCAAACAGAGAGAACAAGGGAAAAAAAGAGTTTTAATTTTATATGACGTTTTAGGATTTTTTTTTTGTTTTAAAATGAATGACCTTTTGGATTTTCTATGCTTTTTTGATATTTTTTTTCTTCTAAATTTATCTATATTCCATCATAGTTAATAAAAGAAAAACGATAAATAGTATTGAAAAGATGAACTAATTAAAAAGGGTATTTCTATGTTTGAAGTTAAAACGATATTTAAAAATCAACGTAGTAGATTTCATGGATTCGGGAAACAGCGTTATTGCTTTGGTGGCTGCTAACGTGCGCCCAGCGTTGTGTATCGCCGTCACATTTTCTGGAATTTGTTCGTCGTTCGTTTTCTTCGAGGCGGGTTTGGGGGAGAAATCTGCCTGCTGGATTTGCGTCAGACTCCGAGTTGTGTTCTTAATTACTAGTATAAACAAGTAATCTTTTTCCCTTTTCTGCGTAGAGATTTCTCCGTTTTGTATTTCGACCTTCCTCCAATCTTCGCCCTGTTAATTTGCAGTTCTTCCGGAAAATCGATCGAGTGGAGCGTGGAAAAACTCTTTTTCTCTTCGGTGGCAGAAGAAATTTATACTGACGAGAAGCTGATATGGGTTGGTTTCTTTCTCCCGCTCTATACTCTTCTTCGCCCCGTTTTACCCCTATCGATTTGATGGTTGGCTGGTCCAAATCTGTCCGGTGAACTGTTTCTGAAATTGGGTTTTCATAGTTTTTGTCAGATTTTCTTGGGTCTTGCTTAGTTTTTTGGTTGATGGTTTGTTGTGCTTTCAGTTCCCTGTTGTCTCTGCCTCCGGAGGAACTCCGGTTTCGGTCAAATCACTCCGATTCGATTCTATGGACCATTGTTTGGTTTTGATCTGAGTATTTGATTAGGGTTTCGATTTTCGTTCATTGGTTTTTAATATCTGGTTTTCATTGGTGGTGATCAGATGTCTGCTCTAGCGTTTCGCATAATACGGACGATGAGTATGCCAAATTCATCAGAAGAATGAATCCACCCAGGTATCGAATCGCTTCAGATCAGATTTCTGTTTTACTTTCGTTGTTGTTCTTCTTCTAAGCTAGGCTGATCGAGTAAATCCGATTATCCTTAGGGTTGTGATCGATAACGAGGTCTGCAAGGATGCTACTGTTGTTAAGGTACCGATGAATCTTCTGCTGCTTTTGATTGGTCTCCATGCATGAGTAATCTATCTGTTTGCTGTTTTCCATCGGTTAGGACAAAGTACTTTGGTCTGTGCAAGTATAACTCTGGTGGTTGATTCAGGTGGATAGCGTGAATCGGCCCGGAATACTTCTCGAAGTTGTTCAAGTCCTAACCGATCTCAATCTCAGTATCAGAAAAGCTTATGTATCTTCGGATGGTGGCTGGTTTATGGATGGTGCGGAAAGCTAGTCTTCCTTTGTTTGCTATGCCTTTTTATGTTTTTGTCATAAAACTCGAAATCATGGAGAATGAAACTAATGTTTGTTTGCTTGTTTGTTTATTCGGTTGATTTTGGAGCAGTTTTTAACGTTACCGATCAAGATGGGAACAAGGTCACCGATGAACTGGTTCTTGATTATATTCGCAAAGTAAGTGATGAAAGTCTTGTTCTCGGACTTACTTTTGTTGTTTCATCTGTTCCCATGTGAGAATGGTCTAACGGTTCGATGTGTTTCTGCAGGCTCTTGGGCCTGAGTCTTGCTTTATGTCATCTATGAAATCAGTCGGGGTCAAGCAATCATCAGATTTCACGGTCATCGAGTTAACAGGAAGTGATCGGCCTGGTTTGCTTTCTGAGTTAAGTGCTGTCCTAAGAGATCTCCAGTGCAACGTGGTGAATGCTGAAATATGGACACACAACACGAGAGCAGCAGCTGTTGTACAGATCACCGATGAAGAAACGGGTTGTGCAATTACTGACCCAGAAAGACTGTCCAAAATCAAGAAGCTTCTCGGTAATGTGCTTATGGGAAGCAACGGTAGAATCCATGAAGCGAAAACCATGGTTCCTTCTTCCGAGGTCACTCACACCGATCGGAGGCTTCATCAGATGATGTTTGCTGGTAGAGATTATGAACAGCGGGCCAATGGTGATGATGCTGTGGATAAGGTTGGTAGACTTAGGCCGGATGTGGATGTAGATGTAGTGAATTGGCATGATAGAGATTACTCTATTGTCACTATCAGAAGTAAAGATAGGCCAAAGCTTCTCTTCGATACGGTTTTTACGTTAACAGATATGAAGTATATGGTTTTCCATGCAAAGATTGACGCTGAAGGTCCTGAAGCTCATCAGGTACTCTCTCATCTGGTTCTAAATTTTTTTAAAAATTGAATCTTTTAACTCTTGGACGATCCATTTACACAAATTTTTTGTATTTTTGGCTTTGTAGGAGTATTACCTAAGACATACAGATGGATCTCCCGTAAAATCTGAGGCCGAAAGACAGCGTGTGATAAGATGCCTCAGAGCAGCTATCCAAAGAAGGGTATCTGAGGTAATGTTATACGTAACATTGGATGTTCGGTTTGATACTGTAAACAAATTTATCATTGGATGTTCGGTTTGAGGAAATGTAGCATTTCTGTTTGGTTTTCATGGATGTTTTTTAGGGTTTGAAGCTTGAGCTATGCACCACAGATAGAGTTGGATTACTGTCAAATGTAACCCGAATCTTCCGGGAGAACAGCCTTACCGTCACAAGGGCCGAAGTGAAAACTAAAGAAGGAAAAGCTCTCAACACATTCTATGTGAGCGATGTTTCGGGGTACCAAGTCAATGCCAAGACCATAGATGCAATCAGACAAGTCATTGGGCAAACGATACTCAAAGTGAAAGGCAAGACAGGGGGTCTAAAACCGGCATCTCCAGAATCTCCGACGAGATTTCTATTCGGAGGCCTCTTCAAGTCGAGATCTTTTGTCAATTTCGGGTCAATCAGATCCTAGTCTTGAAGATGGGCAAGGGTTTTCTCAGGAGAAAGTTTCAGACTTTGTACATAGATTGTGGTTACTGGTAGGAGAAAGAAGTAAAACGATAGCAAAAATAGTGAAAGTTCTTCAGGTTTCAGGGATTTTCATGTGATGAATGTTGGAAATATGGTCAAAATTTCATCTGTACATAAATCGTATGTTTCATGTTTTGAATGGTCGTTCAAAATCCACCATCGAGAGAAATTCTTGTGGCAGTTATCCTGCCCTTTTGCTCAGTTCCAATGAATTGGGAACATCAATGGATTAAATGCTCTACTTGGAACAAGCATAGAAAACTGAGTTTGTGTGTGTATATATACATACATGTGTGCATAAAATCTCATAGATAGATAACGAAGTTCTACAAAAGATGATACAGATTGATATATAAATATAGCGAGAAGGGCAACGGAAAAGATTGGCCGGTGGTCGTAGGTGTGGCGCTGTCAGTCATCGGAGCCATTGGAGCAATCTCCGGCTTGATGACAGGAAACGATTCGGTTTCTGGTCGGAAAACGATGAAAGCTCCCGGAAGGGATGGCCGGACTTTCCGGGACGATTTCGAGAGCAGCCCGAGCGACTATTTTCGCAATCTCTGCAACAACAAGTGAATCCAGATGCTAGAAAGCGCAGCTCTCTAAGACTAATGATGTAATAAAAAGAGTTGCAGTATGGTCTGATCTTTATCCAATCTGGTATGTTAACGTGAACTCGTTACTATTTACCAGAATCTGGTTAGGTCAACCGGTGAAATTAGGATGCAAAACACTTGTTCCGTCTCAAGTTTGAGTATCAGCATGGGGAGGGGAGTGAATATTTTAAAGCACATGACTTATTTCTATTACTATCCCGAATATTAGTCTGGATTTCGGTGGTGGACGCTCCGTTATCAAAAAAAAAAAATCGTTGCTATTTATAATTAAATGTGGATGTTCTGTTTCCTATTAGATTCCCTAAGTGGGATATGTGTTGTTGAGTATAGAAATATAGTCACATAAAAAAAAAAATAGGCACTGAAAATATAAATTTAAGACAAATAAACCAAAGGGATACAACACCTTCTAGTGCTTGCTGGCGGCTCGGCTGTACCCTTTTTATATTCTTAAATAATATTATTTAAATAAAAGAATATTTTTCCACGTCAGGTGGTTCGCCCACTTTCCATCTTACTTTTCCCTCTCTTTTCCTTCTTGCCTTCGGCCGTAAGTATTCATTTTATTCCTCTGTTTTTTTTCTCTTACTATTATCTCCAAAAGAAAAAGAAAACTAGCATATATATCTATATATGTGTGCATAATCTCTCATAGTTATCACCATCCTTCGAAAGATTATACAGAGTGATATAATATATTATCGAGGCATAATGAGCAGCGGCAAAGAAAACGGCAGTAGCAGCACAAAGGCAATGATCGTAGGTGCTGCCTTGTCTGTCATCGGCGCCATCGGAGCTCTCTCCGTTTTGATGGCTGGGGACAGTTCCGAGCCTGAGCGGAGAACCATGAAAGCTCCCGGACGGGACGGCCGGATTTTCCGCGACGATTTCGAGCAAAACCCCAGAGACTATTTCCGCAGTCTCCGCAACAAGAAGTGAGCCTTCAGTTGCTGTTGTTTATGAGCTTGCATGCAGCTCTCTCTCTCTATCTATCTAGTCGACTGTGATGTAATAAAATGGGGTTGGATGTCACATGATCTGAATCTTTATCTAACGTCGTATGTTGGTGTTGTGTGAACTCTGTCAGTGTTCTGTTTTTTTTTTCTGTTCTCATTTCTGTTGGATTCTCTTAATGAATTCTGGTGGTGTGTGATGTAGAATATCGTTATATTATAATATTATTGTTCTTGAGAAGTCTTGGGCTTTTTATAAAAGAATATTATGTGAAAAACAAATCATAAATTTCAGTGGTTTTTGTTACAGATGTGATTCCAAAGCACCTTTTTCTCAAATATTTCACATATCTGTATACATGGGCGGATCTACTTGCACATAAGTGGGGGCACATGCCCCCATTCACATTTTTAAAAAAAGAAATATTACTTATAGTTTTAATTAAATTATAACAATGCCCCCAGTAAAAATTAAGTGGTGCCCCCTCATTTTTTTTAACCCTAAATCTTTTTTTTTTCAATTTTTTTTTCTACCAATTTTACATTCTCCTTCATTTTTTTATATTCTTTACCAACTACAAATTCTGTTTAATCTTTTATCAAATAAAAAAATAAAAATCCAATAATAATCAAATCCAAAAAACTAAAACCAACAAAAATATGTAAGTATTCTGGATTTTATTTTAAATATTTTTTTTATCTTTTATTCATTTATTTCTAAATATCTATCATATTAATAAATTTGTTTTTATACAAATCTCATAATTGATTTAACAGAGAAATCTATTGAGAAATTTCTCAAAAAAATTTACAGTGTCCAAAATTTAATGATCTATTTAACGGAATAAATTCAAAATTGCTCATTTATATGACAGTTTTTAGTCATGTTAAAATAACTTTGCGTAATCGGATTGGTGATCAGCCTTTGAGTGATTTTCTAATTTGTTTTATCGAAAAAAATATGTTTGAGATAATTATAAATGAAGTTGTTAGGAATAGATTTAAAAAAATGAAAGATCGGAGAATTTAGCTATATAATGAAAAATATTTTTCTGATAATATATTTTTATTAGTTTTTTATATTTTATATCATATTTATATTTTTTGTCCCATGTTGAAAAAAATTTTTGGATCCGCCACTGGTTATATATGTGTGTGTGTGCAGCGTTATAGACTATTATAAAACTGCAATTTGAAATATGCATATGAGATATGGGTATAAACCTAAAATTCTGATCAGAAAATGGATCCAAAAACACACAAACAACAAGTTCAATTACAATGCTGTATATATATAGTCGATTTGTATATTTTCAGGGTGTGTTCCATTGCAGAATTTTGATTGAAAATGCTCAAGAAAACCCAAATGAAATCGTCAATGCAAGGAAAGAACACCAAGAGAAGATTCAACATCTAGAAGATCTCAAGAGAAAAGTAAACATGCTATTGAAGAAAAATGGAAAGATCAAACAAAAGGAATAAAGTAAAAAAAAAAAAGAAAAGAAGATATTGAGCAAAATATTGGAAACAAGAAGAAGAGCTATGCATAAATACAAGACATGAGAGATACAGAAAAGTATTCCAGCAGAACAGAAAAATAGAGAAAGGGAAAACGAGCTGAAGAATCATAGGTGTGGGAAACACGGGTGAGTGATACTTGAGAGAGAGTGAAGTGCATCTGAGGGGAGCCTTCAAAAACAGGCGAACCGCTCAAAGGGTCTAGACGAGTCTAGGGTTATACGGGGTGTGCGAGGCATACATAGTGTATGGGCTGATAGAATTCATGTTGTAAGGGGGAACAAACTCATGGGGAGTTGTGTTCTTGGGATGGATTAGGCTCGAACAAAAAAGAGTTGTAATTCATGTTCTTTACAAATGAATAGAATCAGTTGGAAAGTTTTTGAAAGCAATATCGTGTGAGTTTACTTTTTCAATTTGTATCAGAGCAGGTCACTGATCGTAGAAAATTTTTCCTCTCATATCGGTGTACGATTCAGTCTCACACGATGGATGGATACGAAGAGATGCAAGCACTAAGGAAACATGCGATATTTGACTCAACTAATTATGGGCATACCGAGATGGAGTACGAAAAATCACTTGTCACCCATGAACAGGAGGAAACCGAGTTGGACAACGACGATGAAGAAGTTTCTATGTCTGTTGCATTCTTTGGAATCATTGAAGAAGGAGAAGAAATACTTGAAGATGATTCAAGTGATGATGAAGAAATAACTCAGGACGATTTATACAAAGAAATGACGAAACTAGTTCGAATGGGCAGATATTTGTTGGATGAGAAGAAGCGGCTGGAGAAGGAACTTAGAAATACTCAGATCCAACTGACATCTACTCAGCATCAACTGTCCCAAAAAGAAGAAGAAGCGTCGCTCATGAGATGTCAGATTGAAGAGACCAAGAAAAATCTTCATCTTCTTGGGAGTGGAACTGGTAAGTCGGATCATCTACTTGGACAGGGAAGGAGTGCACAAGATCAATCGGTGCTTGGATATGTGGGAAAGGAACAATATCACACAATATTTGTGTCTAGAGGAAATCTTGAACGAGAAGTACCTGACTTGGTACGAAGTACTTTTGGTACTGTCAGAGATACTCCAAGAGTTAAAATGGATATGGGAACCTCTCAGAAACAACAAGAGCATAGAAGCTGTTATTACTGTGGGAAGAAAGGACATATTCGAAGGAATTGTTATCACCTACGACAGAAAATGAAGTCTAGTTGGTACGTTCATTCGAACTTGAATCACTCTTATATGTCTCATCCTTCGAAGAATCTTAGGTGGATTCGTAAATCCGATGTGTCATGCAATGTTGCCTGTACGTCTGAACAAACGAGTGCAGATGGTGTCTGGTATTTGGATAGCGGGTGTTCAAGACACATGACAGGACGTCAGAAGCTGTTGACGAATTTTGAAGTAGGTTTGACAAGTGGCAGTGTCACATTCGGAGATGGAAAACAAGGGAAGATCATTGGTAAAGGAACTATGGAATGTGGTGGAGTATCCAAGCTGACGGATGTCAAGGTCGTGCAGGGCTTAAAGACTAATTTGATCAGCATAAGTCAACTATGTGATAATGGCATGAAGGTGAAGTTCACAAAGGATGCATGCTTGGTGATCAATACAAATAACAAGTGTATTTTAACTGGGCAAATGACATCAAGCAATTGCTACACATGGGTTGACAACCAGATTTTCAGAAACTCTCTCAAGGATCCTAAGATACAGGCCTAGAATTGAGCAATCAAAAGCTCATGTATGGTTTTGAATTTATGCTTATACACAGGGGGAGAAATGGCTCGGAAGGTATATGGTCATAGACATAGGGGGAGAGATGATACAAGAGGAGAATGATAAAAAAGGTGCATGGTTGAAGATGCTGAGGAATATGCATGGTTGAAATTGTTGAGGAAGATATCGAGGAGCCAAGTGGATGAATGTGTGTTCAAGTATAAGTGTGTATAAGCATAAAGTCAAAAAGGGGGAGAATGTTAATGCAAGAAAAGAACACCAAGAAAAGATTCAACATCTAGAAGATCTCAAGAGAAAAGTAAACATGCTATTGAAGAAAAATGGAAAGATCAAAAGGAATAAAGTCCAAGAAAAAGGAAAAGAAGATATTGAGCAAAATATTGGAAACAAGAAGAAGAGCTATGCATAAATACAAGACATGAGAGATACAGAAAGGTATCCCAACAGAACAGAAAAAGAGAGAAAGTGAAAACGAGCTGGAGAATCATAGGTGTGGGAAACACGGGTGAGTGATACTTGAGAGAGAGTGGAGTGCATCTGAGGGGGAGCCTTCAAAAACAGGCGAACCGCTCAAAGGGTCTAGATGAGTCTAGGGTTACACGGGGTGTGCGAGGCATACATAGTGTATGGGCTGATAGAATTCATGTTGTAAGGGGGAACAAACTCATGGGGGGTTGTGTTCTTGGGATGGATTAGGCTCGAACAAAAAGAGTTGTAATTCATGTTCTTTACAAATGAATAGAATCAGTTGGAAAGTTTTTGAAAGCAATATCGTGTGAGTTTACTTTTTCAGAAATGATTCAGATGTCAATAGCAACCTCAAAAGCCTAATGAGCGAGAAGGGTAACAGAAAAGAATGGGCAGTGGTCGTAGGTGCTGGACTCAGTCATCGGCGCCATTGGAGCTAGGGTTGTCAAAACGAGTTCGGCTCGCAAGCTGGCTCGTGGCTTGCTAGAAAACGAGCGATCTAGAGCCGTAATTTTTTCAGCTCGTTAAAAAACGAGCCTAACGAGTCAGATATTGGTGTTTTATTAAATTTTTATGTATTTATTTAAATTTATAATTATATTTAAAATAAAATATAAATAAAAAATATTATATATCCTTGGTTCAACGAGCCGGCTCGTTCAGATCGGAAAACTGGCGAGCGATCTGAGGCGAGGGTTTTCTGGCTCGTTAGAAAACGAGCCTAACGAGCTGAGCCCAAAATGATCCGAGCCAAATGAGCTGAGCCCAAAATGATCCGAGGTGGCTCATTTGACACCTCTAATTGGAGCAATCTCGGGATTGACGACAGGAAACAGTTCGGATTCTGGTCGGAAAATGATGAAAGCAGCCTGCCCGAGTGACTGTTTTTTGTAATTCAGGTGTTAGAAATTGCAGCTCTCTAAGGCTATGGTGTACTAATAAAAAAGCTGCGATATGATCTGATCTTAATCCAATGTGGTATGTTAATGTGAGCTCGTGCTTCTTCAATGTTGATGTTCTGCTTTCTATTATATGTGATTTTTATTGGTAATCGGATATTTGGATCAAAATATAGGCTAATTCAAAAGGGTCGGAAACCGAATGAATACTCCTCTTAATTTAACTAAATTTGGGTTTTGAATTTGTTTTGTTAGAAAAACGTAAAATTTCATCTAATATTTGATGACTCATCCGTTAAGGAAGTGAGTAAAGCTTCTTTCCAATTCTTGGTTCGAGTCTATCGTTTGGACATAAACATTCACATAGAAAATTAGGTGAAATTCCAGATTATAAAAAAACATAGAATTCTATTTTTTATTCACAATTTGGATATGTTATCAAATTCCAAAACTTGCGGGAGAGGAGAAAGTCTCTTGTTGACTTAGTATAGAAATATGGTTAAATGAAAAAAAGGAATATAGACACAGAAAATTTACAATTAAAACAAATAAACCAAAAGAGATTCCTTAATTATTATTGTTTTAATAAATCAAGCCATGTGACATGCTTTTATCGCACCAACTTTCCAATCAATGCTTTTTCTTTTGCTATGAAATAATGATTTTCCACGTCAGATGTGGGGTTCGTTCACTTCCGCATCTTGCTTTTCCCTCTCTTTTCCCGGCCTTCGGCCGGAAGGATTCATTTCATCTCCAAAGGAAAACTGAAAAGAGACTAGCACGTGTCTAATATCTCTCTATATATAGAGAGGGATACGTGCATGAAACATCAGAGATAGATATTGCCATCCTTGAACAGATTACACAGAGTGATTCAACATATATAATATCGAAGCACAATGAGCACGATGGTGGTGGTCGTAGGCGCTGCCTTGTCTGCGATCGGCGCCATTCTCTGCTGTTTGTGCGGGTGCAGCTCCAAACCTGGACGTGAAACCATGAAGGCCCCCGGAAGGGACGGCCGGATTTTCCGCGACGTTTTCGAGCAGAACCCGCGCGGTTATTTCCGCGGTCTCCGGAACAAGAAGTGAGTCTTCTCATCAGGCGCCGTTGCTAGAAGACTATGGTCTAATAAAAACAGAGTTGCATATCGTATGATCTGAATCTTTATCTAACGTGGTCTATTATTAGTTAATGTTGTGTGAACTCTGCCACTGTTCTGTTTGGTGGGTCTATGATGTGGAATATTTATATTATCCTTCTTGAAAAGTCTTGGGGTTTTTCCTTTCCAAATATAAAATTCCAAAACATCTGATGTTTTTTTTTTATATTAATTCATGGTTGAAGTTGAAGCTTTTTGAACAGAGCCACATGTTCTGACAAAAAAACTGTGACTACCGGATATTTTTTTTAAATAATTCGAAAGTTCACCGATACTAAATTTTTCGACTAGATTTATCGGATAAATTCACGTGAATGTTCATCTTGAATCGATTCACGTGAATGTTCATCTTGAATCGAGACTCGATCTTGGGTAAAAGAAATTCATTTTGGAACAAAGAAAGAAATCTAAATCTGAATCCCTTACTCTGAAAAGGTGAGTTAATACACAAGACCATCACAATCTCCATTTTTTTTTCATGTTTTTTTTAGCGAGGTCGTTTGTGGGCAGAAGAAGGGTGATTATAATAGAAGACTAAGTGAAAATTTTCTAAAATTCAGTGGGTTTTTAAAGATGGGAAATATATTCACCGGATAAACTTTTGCATTGAAATTGTGAAGACTTAGATGGTTTGTTCCATTGACTATAACCACAGAGCCAAATAAGCCGAGTTTTGATTGAAAATGATTAAGAAAACCCAAATGACATGATTCAGATAAAATTCAGATGCCGACCACAACCTCAAAAGGTATTATTACTTGCCTCCGCTGAAGAGGTAATCAAGTGACGATCCACCGCCAGGAGCAGAATGCACTTTCGTTGAAGGTCGATCCTACACAAATATACAACATATATATATCCTTCACTTTTAGCACAAATATACAAACGATATCTATTCGTTTAGTCATCCGGAGAAACATACAGTGAGGAAATTGCCGGTGTTCTGTCCGTCAGCTCGGGCATAGTTGTTGACCGATGTCCTATTGGTACCCGCTGGAATTTGCCCGGTAATGTCCGCTGGTTCGGGAGCAGCCTTGGGTTTCGGGGGAGCCCCATTGTTCGGTCCGGGTGCAGGGGGCGCAGGTACGGGAGCCTCTCCACTGCCGAAAAGGTAACCCAACGAGCTCTGCCCTCCACCACAGCTGTTCCCACGACTCATGGTGGTCTGGACAATGCTTTAATGATGGAAAACTTGACAAAGACACAAGTTTTAAGATTTAGAGGCAGCGAATTGCTGACATAAGTTCCAAATGAAATAATTTCGGATGAGTAAAAAACATAATCTACACTACAATCCGTAACTATCATCCATTGTACGTAATACATAGACACCAACATATTACTTCTCACATGCTACAGCATCTCTATTCATATTCTCCAAACGAAATCAACTAAAAAGCTCATACAATACCCCAAGTTGGAGAGAGATCTCGATTTCACAAGATTCGAAGTTTCGAACAAAAAATTACCAGAAATCAACCCTAAATCAACTCTTAGTAGCCATTTCAAAACACAATTCCAGAAAAGTTACAAGCGGATCTATACAACCAAATCCAAATCATATAAGTACAAACGAATGACTAATCTCAAAGTCCAAACTACAAAACCGTAAACAGATCCGAGCAAAATCGAGGACAGAGAACTGAAAATCACGATTTCGCTTCGCTATGGGCACCAAATAGGCAACCTCAAACAAACGATGAAGACGATATGGATAATTAGGGTTCTAGTAACGCACCTGTGGTGAATTTGGGGATCAGATCTTGAGAAAGAAAACTGAAGCAGAAGCAGACCCAGTAGTAGAAGACGAGAGCGAGATATTTAAGCTTATTCATCCATGCTCGGTTGGCTTATACCAGTCCGGTCCAATTCGGTTCGGTCCGGTTTAATTAGTATCCAAATTCGGTTTAAAATCATAATATATTTTTTGTATAGCGAAATATACTTGCGAAGTTCGCCTGGATTTCCAGATTCTGAAGGCAAAAATCGCCACTATGGAAGAAGCACGATCTGATTCTGCATCACAAATCGGCATTACGCTCGAAGAATGGAACGGTTCTTCTTCCACGAAGCTCTTCAGAACGGCAACCATCACTGCCTCCTCTTCTCTCTCCATCCACAGGTTCTCTATTTTTTTTTCAATTTTCAAAACTCTCTTCTTCCGTCCAATTCGCCTAAGTCTAGGGCTTGGAAGGAAATTGAAGTAGGTTTTTTTTCTGGGTTGATATGTAGGTCTGCTAATCGATTCAACCATGTCTGGAGTCGAGTTCTTCAAGCATTTGTACCCGAGGCAAGTTTGCTTCTTTTGCGGCACAATTTCTTCAGTTTCTCATAAACCCTGGCTCCGATTTCAATCCTCAGGATTTGGGCATACTCGATCCTCTGCAACAATGATTTGCACTGTGAAATGCTGGGAACCGACGATTTAGAGGGTGATTTTTTTTTTCAGATTGGATGAAAGCAATGTTCTTGATCTGTGTAATGCAGGGTTTTCCTGGCAGTGTAACTCCTGATTATACCGGCTTTCAAGTATGGGACACATTGCAGGTAAGCAAGAACATGGATACTCTGTGTAAGTGTATTGTAACTCCAAATTTTTTACATGGGTTTGATCTGGAGCTTGTCTTTTTGCTGTGATTTGCAGGGACTATCGACTTATATAAGGATGATGCTTTCGACCCAAGTCAGATCATGTTCTCAATTTTGAAGCTTTCTTTTTTGTTGTTGTTTCAATATCCGATTTGAAGTATCCTCCTTGTTTTGTTATTCGCATACTATTTTTAGGCTCTCTTGAGTGCAATTGGGGTTGGTGAGAAGTCAGCCACTGTGATCGGTGCTACATTTCAGGTGAGTTTTTGGACATAGAATGTGTTCTTTATTTCACAACTTATTGGATTATTGGATATAATCCCGATTTTACCGGTTGGCTGGCGGTTGTTTGCAATATTGTAGTGGTTCCTGAGGGACTTTACAGGGATGCTTGGAGGTATATTGTTCACATTTTATCAGGTGCTTCTATAGACTTGTTGGATTATATAGCTTATTCACTCTCAGCCTTCCTCCTCTTGTTCAATCAAGATTTTTAGTCGTATTAGTCGATAGGGTTTTGTACCAACTGTGTATGAGATTTTTTGGGGATCTTCTACCAGCAGCTGACTCCATAAGAGTTCTGGATATCAAATTACTCACTAAAAATAATATGGAACTGTCTCATTTCCGTTTTACAGGGTTCAAACCTCGATAGTAATGCAAAAATGTGGCGTCTGGTTGCTGACCTTATGAACGATATCGGTATGTTCAGAAACTGCCTTTGTTATTTTCTTCGAGTATTTTGTCCCCAGAATCCAGATACAGAACTTCGGGATTTTTGATGCCTTCAAATTCTATTGCTTTTATTGCAGGAATGGTCGACAGTT